TCCCGCTTCCCCGGCTGTAGCTTTGGCCAGTAACGTTTTACCGGTACCTGGAGGGCCACTCAGGATCGCACCTTTGGGTATTTTAGCACCTGCGAGAAAAATCGGGACAGAGGTGTAATGACTATGTTAGTATGTATTGTCTTGGTGTTATATGGTTGTATTGCTATATTAGATAATTACCCTTGCGAGAGAAAGAGGGTCAGAGGTTTAATGGTTATGTTAGTATGTATTGACTTGGTGCTATATGGTTGTATTGTTATATTAGATAATTAGATTAGAAAGTATTAATATAAATTATTATATTATACTATCATATTAGACAATTAGATTAGATTGTATTATTATACATTGTCTTGGTATTATATTTTCATACTATCACATTAGATGAATAGTTAGATTAGATAATATAACCATATTAACATGAACTCCAAATCCACTCACACTATAACCATTTTAACATGTACTCCAAATACACACACAATACAACTATATCAACATGTACTCCAAATACACTCACCTCCCATTGTTCAATACCACACACTTGACTACATTTCCCAATACCTACCCAGCTTTTCATACTCCTCAGGATGCTTCAAGAAGTTCACAAACGCCGTTCAAATACACTCACCTCTCATTGTTCAACACCACACACTTAACTACATTTCCCAATACCTACCCAGCTTCTCATACTCCTCGGGATGCTTCAAGAAGTTCACAAACTCCATAATCTCTACCTTCGCCTCAGTACACCCCGCTACATCCGCAAACTTGACCTTCACCTCCGACGGCTTATGCAGCGTAGCACGTGACTTGTTCATTTTAAAAATAGAACTGGCCCCTCCGTCCCCTCCCATGCCGCCGGGAGGGCCTGTTTTGCCCCCGCCCATTCCTCTGGCACGTTGGTAGGTGATGAAGATAATGGCCAGGAACCCCACGGTGGGCAGGACTTTGAGCTGGGCAGATAGTGGGTTATTAGTTCTGAATTAGTGGGATACTAATTTCAAAATAGTGGGACACTAAATTGGAAATAGTGGGGTATTAGTTCCGAATTAGTTGCATACTAAATTGGAAATAGTGGGGTATTGGTTTTGAATTAGTGCGTGTGGATGAGACCAGCAGTACAAGGTCCTACCACGCCTTAGAAAGCCATTGCCTTTGCTCATGACACCACTATGTAGTGCGTGTGATGAACCTCAACTAACCCTAAACCCTAGAGCCTAAACCGTACTGATCGTGGTTGGTATTGTAAATTGTGCATGAGGTAAAATGAGGCCTTTAGTGGGTAGTAGTCGCGTGTCAGTGGTGCTATTGACTGTCTATGGTATATAAATAGCATTCCAACACATGGAGAGAGAAAAATGAACATCTATTAATAGAACATCCCACAAGATCTAATAACAGAACACCCCACATAATCTATTAATAGAACATCCTCCATAATCTAGTAATAGAACATCCCACACAATCTATTAATAGAACATCCCCCATAATCTAGTAATAGAACACACCACGTCTGCGGCGCCAATGACCACCGCGTTGCTGTAGGTAACCGGGAGATACTCGTAGGGCATCAGCCCGAGATTGCGCTGCTCCGCTTCCAGTGTCCGCTCAAAGTGTTCGGCGTCCGTAATAGATAAGGTGTACTCCGGGTGGTTGGCAGACCTGCGCAGGAGAAGTGGAGACAAGGGGAGGGGATAAGCAGTGAGACAGATGTGTGTAGGTAGGCGCAGGGTATACGTAATAGATAAGGTGTACTCTGGTGGGTGGCAGAGCTGCCCAGGAGGAGAGGAGATAAGGGGACGGGATAAGCAGTGAGACAGATATGTGTAGGTAGGCGCAGGGTACAAGGAATACAATGAGCAGAGAATAGGAGGTAGAAGGTATATGCGTGTGTAAGTAGCAGGGTGCAAGTAATAAAACAAGCAGAGAATAGAAGATAGAAGGTATATGCGTGTGTAAGTACCAGGGTGCAAGTAACAAAACAAGCAGAGGATAGGAGGTAGGAGTATATGCAAGTGTCAGCAGGGAACGTTCAAGTATACGTTATACATGTAGTAGAGAGGGTGGTTGCTGCATATGTGCACTAGACATTTAACCACATACACACACACACACACACAACAACAACAACAACAACAACAACAACAATACAGCACCATCCACTGCTAAGGCAAAGACGTACAGGCGCCGGCAGTACTTGTACTGTACTGGGCGGACAACACAACTACGCCCATCCATCACTCAGCGTAAAGTGCTTGCTGACTTTGGTCTTTGAATGCAAGTGCTTGTATTGGTGATGTGCTGTGTATGTCTATTGACTGTGGTCTTTGAATGTATTGGATGCAAGTGTTTGTATTGGTGATGTGCTATGTGTGTCTGTGTCTATTGCATGTGTACACACAACACATACGCCCTGAACGACACTTTGTGCTGCGCGTGCTACGTCCACTCGTCACTCATTGGTCAATGCTTGCTGAGGGTGTGGTTGATGAAACGCATAAATCTATAAACGTTTCAACCCCAACCACACACTCACGGGATGCATAAACGTTTTAGCACCAGTCACACACTCACCGAGTGTATAACGCTATAGCACCAGCCACATATCGCAGGTCACCCTATACTCCCTAGGCATCTAAACGTTTTATCACCAACCACACACACACTCGCATGTATAAGCGTTTCTAACACCAACCACTCACGGCATGCATAAACGCTATAGCACCAGCCACACACAACAGTTCAATCCCATACTCCCGAGGCGCATAAACGTTCCAGTCCCAGCTACATACACACTGGCATGTATAAGCGTTTTTAACGCCAAGCACGCACTCACCGGATGTGTCCCGTGTCGTCCTCTGGGTGTATGCGCAGGTACGAGTCTTGGCCCAGTCTCCCCTTGCGAATGTACAGTAGCACGTCGGTCTTATTCAACACTTGCACATGGTCAATCTACGAAGGGGAGGTCAACACACACACACACACATACAAGGATGTTAGTATGTTACAGGTCAAGACACACACACATACAAGGATGTTTGTATGTTACAGGTCAAGACAGGCACACACACATACACACAAGGATGTTAGTATGTTACAGGCGTACTATATAAACACACGGAAGGGCCCTTACTACATCCAAAATAATGTCTTTGGGCATGCTTAGGGTTTTTAGGGTTTAGTGTTTAGGGTTTCGGGTTTAGAAACCCCTAAGCACTTGAAGCATTTGACCTGTGTCTGCGGACTGCGTGTGGATTGAGTCTGTAGTACTTATGCGTGGGCGATCTCAGTGGATAAAAATAGAACACACGGTGAACAACTGTATAGTATAGATATATATGTATATATATATATATATATATATATATATATATATAAGTATATATATATAGATATATATATATATATATATATATATATCTTTAGAGAACCCTAGACATGCGCATTTATTAAACTCTAAAAACCTTAAAAACCCTAAACACTTGCACCTATATGACCACGCGTATTTTATCAACACGTATAAGTCGTCAGGTACCTATTGCTTTCATTGTAGTATCGTTGAACTCCTAATACGTTAACTCGATGGTTGACAACGATGGTTGCTATGGTTAAACTCGGGGTTTAGAGCAATAGAGTTGGCTATTCAAGTACGATAGAAATTGAATAGCGAGACCTCGATATATAATCAATACACACATCTCGTACAATGAAAGAAACACATCTCTATGTTTAAGTAGAGTGTCTTTGAACTCCTTATACGATATGCCAACAACTACCACACACTTGCATAGCAACACCTGTACACACATCTCGTACAGTGCATAGCATACATCTCCATGCTTAAAGTAGAGTGCCTTTGAACTCTATATATTATATACCTACAACTACCACACACTTGAATAGCAGAACCTGTACACACACCTTGTACAGTGCATAACATACATCTCCATGCTTAAGTAGAGTGTCTTTGAACTCCTTTATTATATACCAACAACTACCACACACTTGAATAGCACCACCTGTACACACGTAACATACATCTCCATGCTTAAGTAGAGTGTCTTTGAACTCTTTATACGATATACCAACAACTACCACACACTTGAATAGCCCACCTGTGCACACACAACATACATCTCCATGCTTAAGTAGAGTGACTTTGAACTCCTTATACGATATCTCTTTGGGCTTGTGTTCGTCTTCGGGTGTGAAGTACCAGATCAGCAGCCCACCGCCTATCAACACCTGAATGGCCCTATTCCGCAGACGATTCACATCCAAGGCATCCGCTGCATATGCCAACATGAGGAAGTATAGGAAATAGACATGTTAATGCAAACGGGAAAACACACGAGAAATGTTGGTATTAGTATAGAGAGAAAATGTATATGAGAATTACAAACGTTAAAAAAAAACAGTGCATATGAGAATTGTTAGTGTACAAGAAACCAAATAGCATATGAAAAACGCTAGTGTATGCGAAAACAAAAGGACGAAATACGGAGATGACATGGACGAATGCCTGAGCAGAGGGATAGAGCAGAACAGCCCTAGAGCACAGAAACGTAACCTACGATGCACCCACTATGTGGTCAAACAACGGACAAGTGGACTCCAAACGAATGACGGAATATAAATAGAGCAGCATTAATGGTCGGACACAATATCAGGAATATAAATATAAATTTGAATATATATATATTTATATATT